TATATAGCTCGGAGCGGAATACATTTTGAAAGAGGGAAGCTCCTAATATTCAGCCATTAGCTCCAATAAACAAAAGTGCCCTGAAGTATTCCCACTGCAAATGGAAAGAGAATGAAATAAAATGCAAGACAGATCCGAAATTATACATTTGTTCTGAAGGAATATGAAGTCATGAATAAAAGCGAGAGTTTCGTGTGGAAAACAGTCTGAGCTTGTGTCTGAAAATAGAAAGCACTGCAAGCTCACATGCTTATTTGTGCATGAGTGAGTGAGCATGTCAACACGCATACATGCTAGAGCCTGACAAACATGATGATACCACCACATAATATAGACACCTGCTGGTGATCTCCATGGCAACGCTACCTGACAGCCCCGTGACATGCATGGTAAGTTTTATTCCAGGGTGATCTTACAGTAATATCACACCTCTCTGTCTCTTGTGTGTGTATGTGTGTGTGTGTGTGTGTGTGTGTGTGTGTAGGTGAGGAGATTTACTCTCTGTGGCCCTGCTAATGGACAGATGTGAGAATAATGTAGTGTAGAAGAGCAGAGATCCTGTAGCTATCGACCAAGAGATACTCTCTCTCTCTCTCACACACACACACACACACACACATTCTTGAACCATATCAAAGTGAAGGTCAGAGGTCAGAGCAGAGGCTGATGGGAAATGTGATTTATATTCTAAGGTGGCCAAGCAGTCTCCCATTACGGTTACTCACATAAATGTATGTGCATAGAGTGTATGTGTGTATGATCTTTCTGTGCGATGTAATTTGCATTAGTATGGTAGCCATATTTAAAACACACCTCACGTATTTTTCAGAGCAACTTAGTATTTGTCTATCCACCAAGGATGATATGTGTGAGGCATTATTAATATACTTACAGAACATAGAATTTGGATATGTTCCATTCCCCCGACAATGCCCTGCCAAAGCAAATATCTCATATCCGGTCATCTTAAGCCAGTTTTTAAAATCGCAGGAAGTGCATCCGCTCAGTCGGAAGGGCACTGCAATGGCATAAAGTGTACACTGACGGGAAGTTGCTAAAATAAACACAAAGGAGGATTTTTTTTTCTTACATAATGTACCAAAGCACATTTGTTTACATATTAAATATTACAAAACACACACACACACACACACACACACACACACACACACACACACACACACACACACACACACACACACACACACACACACACACACACACACACACACACACACACACACACACACAAGTAAAAAGGAAACATTACTATTTTTAATGTTTTTGAAAGAAGTCTCATATGCTCATCGAGGCTGCATTTATGTGATCAAAAATACAGTAAAAAAACAGTGATATTGTGAAATATTATTACAATTTAAAATTTTCTATTTTAATATAGGCTTCTTTAAAATATAATTTATTTCTATAATGCAAAGCTGAATTTTTAGCATCGTTACTCCAGTTTTCAGTGTCACATGATCCTTCAAAAATCATTTTAATATGCTGATTTGATACTTTTTTTTTTAGCAATATTAGAAACAGAAGTGCTGCTTAATATTTTTTTTTCGAACCTGTGATACTTTTTTCAGGATTCATTGATGACTAAAAAGTTAAAAAGAACAGCATTATTATTTCAAATTAAAATATTTTCTAACAATATAAATCTTTACTATCACTTTTTTATCAATTTAACACATTCTTGCTGAACAGAATATACATTTATTTAAAAAAGAAAGAAAAAACAATCACTGACCCCAAACTTTTGAACGGTATAGTGTATATTGTTAAATTTCGATTTAAAATAAATGATGTTCTAAACTTTTATTCATCAAAGAATCCTGAAAAAAGCATCACAGGTTATAGCTAAAAAAAATATATTAACTGTTTCCAACATTGATAATAAATCAGCATATTAGAATGATTTCTGAAGGATCACGTGACACTGAAGACTGTGTAATAGCTGATGAAAAATCAGCTTTGCATCACAGAAATAAATTGTATTTTAAAGCATATTAAAATCGAAAACCATTATTTTAAATAATATTTCACAATATTACTGTGTTTTTCTGTATTTTTGATCAAATAAACGCAGGCTTAATGAGAACAAGAGACTTCTTTCAAAAACAAAAAAAAATGTTTTCAAACTTTTGGTACTAACTGTACCAAAGTATATTGGTATATACTGTATATATTTACACACACACACACACACACACACACACACACACACACACACTTATCATGAGCTTACCTGAAAACTCCCAATCTGCACATTGCAGAGCATTTCAATTGAATGAAGTTCGTCACACGTATTGAACAAATATCCCCTGCTGAATATTTAGGGAGCAGTAAACCAGTAAGTACCCTGTTAATCTCATCACAGCTTTTGTATACCCCCCGTTTTCTGTGCTGATTGTGGGGGGAAATCTGATCAAATGTGTTAACCGGGACTGTGAATACTGCATAGTGTATTATCAAATTAGCCAAAATATTTTAGAAATGAACATGCAATGTAATGACCTCATTAGCTATTTTAAAAGACATTGCGTCTTGAATCACTGGGTATAAATCATCAATTTGATGCAATTAAATTGGCATAATAAATCATGCCTGGAATTTTAAATTGTGTTTAATATTCTCATCTATTCATTCATATTCAAGATTTTGGATGACCCTCATTTTTCTAACTGTGTCAAAATATATTTTTCATTTGAGTGTCTATTATGATAGTAAAAGCAATGTTTAAGACAAACCAATTTGCATCAAAGTGATAAATAACCCAGATCTACTGCTATTTATCTTCCATTATTCAAAAAATAAAACAAAAAAACCCACTGTACAGTACTGTAAAAACAAAAATATGTTAAGGACAATATTTTGTTACGGGTTAAACAATCTCAAAAATGATAAAAATCGATCATTAGAATTAATATTTACAATAAAGAGAAACATGAGAGAGAACAACATGCACATCTAAGCACATATTGCATCCAAAGATTGGTTTATTGCATTGTTGCTGCAACTGTCTGCAATTTGCAGCCCTTATTTAAATATAAAGACATTCTGTAGCCAAGAGGAAAACAAAACTATGAGTGTTTCCTCTAGCAGTGTCTGTAACACACATCCATGAGTTCTCATCTGTGTACTGGGAGTTGATGCCCAGCTGGGCAGACATGCTCACAAGGTGGCCTATTTTACCCTGAAATACTCTCAATATCCCTTGGTAATCTTAACAGCATGGAATTTCCCCAAAACAAACCCTTTAGAGACAGAAAAATGAAGATTAAATGAGAAAAGGGAGCGAGTGAGAAGAGATTAGAGAATGTAAAAGAAAAGAGGTATCAGTGCACACATAAGAGACTTTTGAGTTGTTGAAAGCTGAAAACTCACAAATTTCAAAGAGCATTTGCATATTCATTCCACTAAATGATATGCTAATCCACTTGATTTGCATCGCGGTGACCTCCTGTTGCGAAACGCTTCATGCTTAGATTCTCCGAATGAAAGAACAGAAAATAGAACAGAAGGGAAAACAACTTGTTGGGGCCCAGCGGACAGGCTTGCATGTCTCTGGAAGTGGAGTATCATAAGGGACATAAAAGCGCACTTGTGATCTTTGAATGGCAAGAAATAAAAGGCACATCAGAGCTGAAGAGCAGCGACAAGAAAACGTTACTGTGGCGCGCTGTACAGACGTGAACGCTGAAGTAAACACAGTGCATGACACAGTGCATGACACATCAGAAATCATTTCTACTTCTCAGTCATCAAAGAGAGCACATGGATCCAAAGTAGAGCGACAGAATGAGGGATGGAAAGAGAAAAAGGGTTGAAGAGTTAGAGAGGGAGGGTGTGTGGGGGGGAAGAGCATGACGCAAAGTGGCGAATGAACACGGTGGTTTTGCGAGGTTGGCACGGTGCCATCCACTCAGCGCCGGTGCCAAAGAGGGCGTGTAGGCAGGGTGGCATTACAGAGGAGAGAGGAGGAGAGACAGATAACGAGAGAAAAGAGAGGCATCGTCCTGCTGCCAATTCTCCAAACGAGATGTTCCTGAGCATTGGATTCAAAAGTTGGAGCTCTTTGAAGATCCGTCCGCCAGCTCGACAGCATGGCAACTGTGTGAGTATGCAATGCCTCATTCAATGCATTGCGATAAACTGATGTGGTGTCTCCTAACAAACCTTTTATCCTCTTATTGTTTCAGAAAAGCGCAAAACTCTTCGCCACGACCTCGTCATTTCGATTCCCTCAGGCTATGCCATCCTGCTGCGTTTCGCCGTCTCCTTCGTGACTGTGCCAGGCTCCAAGTAGGCACATCCCCCAGAGAGTCAGCAGCACATGCCCCGATGTCGATGCCACTCGACGCGGGTATGATGGCATCTGCCTTGTATTAATGGAGATATGCGACTTGTCTTGTTATTCTCGTTGGCACGCATAAACCTTCGGCAGCGTGCCAGGATCTCTGCGCCGCCGCATGCCGCTGGGAAGCTGGCGGTGGCTTGGGAATGGCAGAGTGCCAGCATGTTCCTGCAGTAACCAGCCCCCGACGCGTGCCACTTGGCAAAGACAAAGAGCCCTAGGGACGAAACACAAAACAAGATTGAAAAACACAGTGATCCGACAGCTTAATTAACACTTGCAGAGTTTGTTGGGTTAATTAGTGTGACAGATTTGGTGAGGAGGAATGTGGCAGGAACACTTGTGCAAACAAAAGTGATGGGCAAACCAGACTGAGGGAATGTCGACGGAAGTCAGAGAGCCAGCAGTAATGCCAACATTACTTAACATTCAACAGGGTTTTGGTAAATGGATAAATGGAAAGAAACGGAAGAGTAAAGAAAGAGTTTGTCATCCAAAAATAGTTTCAAATGTTGGATATCAGAAATGGTAAAGTTGGTGGACAGGACAGAAGAAACAACTGAGGATACAAGCAAACAGGGAGGAGCCAAAGAAAACCACAGGCCTTGACTTAAAACAGTGACTCAACAAATCAATCAAATCGCAACTATTGTTATGTATATGACTTTTTTTATCTACTGCAAAAATCCAGAACGTACTCCGCTGTGGCTTGCACAAATATACATTCGGTGGAAGCAAGAGTGAACGTTCATTAGTACGTCGGGAACACCAAAAGGATAAATGACGGGTATTAGCATGGTGAAGTTTACCAGATGGATGCACAACTTTTGAAATCTTTCCGTTTGCAGAGCTTTCCAAGAACAGGGAGAGATTTATGCTTGAATACCTGTTCTGAGGATCCACGAAGCTTCCTGTTGAGTCAGAGAGAAAATAATGCCACTCAGAGAGTGAGTGAGAGAATTCGGTCTCTCACAGGATGTGTTTGACATTGTAGAGGAGTATAAATAATGCAGATTTTCTCTCCTCCTCTTCCTTCACGTGCTTTCTGAAGGAACAGATTTACAGACGTTTGTGCATTGAATCTTTCATTGACATCGCTCTCGTTAAGCAACGGAGGATTTGTTCCAAAACGGGCATTGTTTTCAGCGTAACCTTCTATAAACAAGTTCAAATTAGCCGTTAACAACCTCGCGAAATGGGACGATTAATTTGCGGGTTCCTGTTGGTTTTTTTGCATTTACATCTTTCTTTGTACCGATTGCGGACAATTATGTACGGATATGCTAATCGTGCTGTATTAATGAGGTTTGTATCGCTGGGATTCTCGTCTTTACTCCTGTGGGGATCTTAATTTTACCTCATCTTTATTATGTAAATGGATTATGCCAAAAACAACCGTGTGCGCACACACAAACACACACACACACACCGTAACACAAAAGGGGCGAGTCAAAGGAAGAGGGAATAAGGCGAGGGTGGGAGGGGGGGGCAGAAAATGGAGGATATGCTTCCTTACCAGCTTCAGCACCAAAACGCAAGAAACTGCCGAGAAATCTGAAAGGATCTTTCTACTCAATGCGTCACATACCAAGAAGACGCAGGACAAATGCATTGAATTTTCAGTGCTTTTTTATTTCTTCTAGATATTTCTGCTGTAGCAGTCCTGCCATGGAGTGACAGAGCCAAGGATGGGGATTTACTAGATGAAAAGAGAGAGAGCGAGAGAGAATGGTTAATATCCTGTGCTTAATCATGGCACATGAGATTGGCTGTATGCATATCTCATTTGCATCTCATTAAATTGCTCGTGCACCTGCAGAGAGAGGGGAGAGGGAAAGAGGACAGCACAACGAGAAATTAGGGTGTTGTTTCAAAAATGCAGAAACAACGTTTCTTAAGCAGTTGTTTAATTTTATGTTGAATTATAAAATGTTTTTTAAAGTACACTGCACTTAAAAAAGCTGTTTTGGGTGTTATTTTGATGATGCATTCTATTATTTTAATATGGTATTTAATATACATTTATTATATGTTGTCTTAATTGCATAATCTACTAAGATACCCCCATGCCACAACATTGTGGCATTAAATTCTCTCTGGGAGGATAAAATTGAGATTTTAAGATATTGAGACATAAAACAATCCATATGTTTAATAGCAAGTAAAGTCCAGCACTGGCCACCAGTTTAATATATGCATGATTAGTATGCAGCTCTTTGCATTCTTTAATAGAACTCAGGGTGAAGACTATTGTCTCTGATTCCAGGATGTGCCATCTGCCTGGCTGCAGAGACTGGCCTTTCTCTTTGTGTTACGCACAATGGGCTATTCTACACTGGACATCCACACATAACTCAAATAAATCATGCCCGAGCCAACAGGCCACCAGAGGACCACTGCAATATTTTCCATAAAAGAAAGGAGAAGACTGCATGCGGAGTAGTGGAGAGATTAGGAAAATTAGAAATTTTCCATTACAGAAATATAATGACAAACACAGTTGGAGGGAAGAAATTGGAAGAACAAGACGGGATGGGAAAGGGAAAGTGAAAGGAAATGAATAATAATTGAAATTGTACTTAAAATATTACTCACATTCACCTCTCATGCACATTGTAACATCATTTTCCTTTCATATTTTTTTGGTAAATAAAGTGCAAAACAGCGTCCGACCTCCAGACCCAAGAATGGCCATTCTCCAATGTATGTGACTTTAATGTAATTACTTTCTGACGGATATATTTAAATCTGTATGTAAACACTGGAGCAGCAAGGTCTACGTATGATAGAAATGTCTGCATCGATTACCCGCTATGAATGTGAAATGTTTAATCTCGTTAAAAATCTCATGCCTAAATTAGACTCCCTCAGCAGCTTTTTAAATTGGGCTATCCATCATATATAATGAAGAAGTGACAGAGTGTGTATGCAGGGGGTTCTAATATAAAATTGTTTTAAAATATTCTCATATTAGCTCTGCTGTGGCAAATGGCAAATGGCACCGACTAGCCGGTGCGTTTCCATGATGTGGTAAACAATAAGACAGAAACCAGAGCCCAGAATAAGCCCTAATCCAAAGCTTTTGTATGAACCGAGTCACAAAGCATTGCTGAGGGACAAACGGTGCTTCAAGGATTTATTCTCTTTCAAGAAACGAAAAGAAAGGGGGGAAAATAGAAAGAGGGAAAGACATGTGGTGTTGGCCACCACCTGGTGAGATGTCATGTACGATTAAGTGTGTGTTTGTCTGGCACGCTTCTTGCCGTTATCAAGTGCGGGCAGCTCAGCGCAACCACTACACTGCATACTTTTCTTATGCTAATGACTTCACTTGGATAGACCCCTCCTCCATTGCAATACATCTCCAACCTCGGTACGCCATCCTGCCCACCTTTTCCTGTAGCATGCCCACCTGTGCCACTTTCTAAATCCTTCGGTAACTCGCCCTAAACTAACAACTGCTCTACCAGTCTTAAACCACTCACTCTACGCAGGGTGTAGGGTCTCAAAATCATATAACAAACCTTTATACACCAGACTCCCCAAGGTCAAAGGGTCAAAGATTTAGCATAATTTATCATATCAGTGTGAGATATTCACGGCAGCCACGCGTAGCCCATTCATGCTCGTGCTGCCTCTGATTAGCATCTCATTTCACAGGCTTGATTTTTAAAAAGCCCCCCCTCTTACGCCCTCTTTCCACTAACATGATGGCTCAGTTCCTGCCCTGTAGAAACAGATGCTCACCCAAAATATTATACAGTGACCGTGTCAAACTGACAGCGCAAACCACAAAGGGGGAAAAGGGGTGTCTTAGTCAGCAAATGTTTGGATTGCGGCATTCTGCGATTCACGGTATTACGAACAACATTACAGACGTGCTACTTGTAAACATCTTAGTATGTATAAAAGAGTTTTACAACAATGCTGCATTTTGATTGCAGTATATTTAAAAAAATTTTTTTTACATTTTTTTTTAAATCAAAACATGACGCATATTTTAAGTATTGATTATCATTAAAGATCAGTACTGAATTATAACTGTGGCAATTATACATCTTAATATACCCAATTTGGCAATGTTAACCTATAGCATTCAAAAGTATCATTTAAAAATGGTAATATTATTACAAATAAAAAGACATTTTTCTATTTCAATATATTTTCAAATGCAATTTATTCCTGTGTTGGCAAAGCTGAATTTTCAGCAGCCAATACTCCTGTCTTTGGTGTCACATATTCAAAAAAGAACAGCATTTATGTAAACTAGAATAAATATATTTAGCCTACTGTCACTTAATTTGTTGATCATTTTAATGCAGTCTTACTGACCCCACACATTTCATTGGAAGCTTAAAAATGTCAATATCATAAGAAAATGTCATTTTTCCAGAATATCCAAACTGCTCTTTTCCATACGACGTCAGCAGGCATTGATTTTCAGCATCAGCCTGCGAGATAACATAAAAGTATTAGTGGTGGAATAAGAGGCTCAAATTATCTCTCCTCGAATATATAAAGACTTCAGATGCAAAAGCCTCTAAGTCCGTCTAATGTTTTTCTTTAATATTAACATTTTTATCAGGCTCCTATGTATAGGTTTCTACATATATATGACAATATTCAAATGTTGCTGAGGCTTTGACAAAATGTCACCAGACCACATATTTCTGGATAAAACTGCTACAGCAACATTTCCCTTATGAGCTTGCCCTGTTTTTACAGCTATTTATTGTTACTTTTGCAACCTGACTTTGTGAGTGAACGATTCAGTAAGAGAAAACCCCACTCAGATGAATTTCTCTGCCACACCGTATAAAGAGCTGCATATGGAACGGTGCGATGGCGGCTGCGTGAACATTAGTAACCGAATCTATTTGAGTTTATCGGAGAATCAAGAGGGGCGCAGACCTGTGATAGATGAGCAAATCTAGTCGGCCATTAAAAAGTCATTTCAGAGACAGATAGCTAGCAGGTTCCCCTCTAAATGTCTACTGCGGGAAGCATACTTTAATGGTGCGTGAGAGAAAACAGAAACAATATAGCCTATTTCCAGAAATAGAAAGATAACAGGTGACGTCCTGTGGTTTTGCATCTAATGGGGTTCTTAAATGAAATACAGATAGAAGATGGCATGTATCCACAGAAGAATTTGCTGCTCCAATCTCTCAGTGCTCCCATGCTAAGGAAGCGAATTGTCTCAAGGAACACCGTAGTGGTTTTAATGAGTAGGAAGCGAGAACTAGGCTGTACTTTCTCAGATTCTGGGAGATCATTATAGCTGCCTCGACCTGCTTCACTGGAGAGGGACAACATGACACACAGTCTGTGAATCTCTTAATGACTCAACTGAAAATAATGATAATGCCGCTACAGGCTAATCTTCTGTGAAAAACATTCATGAAATCTGAAGCAAACAATATCTGTTTAACGAGAAACATTCAGATGAAAATACATGATCATCTTTACTCTTAAAGAGCCTTGGTGATATTTTAAAATCACAACATCAGTTACACATTATCAGCAAGTAGAGAAAGGTGCAACGAATGTGGCGCTCTGCCTCTTTAAGAGGAAATCACAGCTCCGAGCTCATGAATTCGCCTTATTCACCTCGAACGTTCCATCGAGCCTGAGGGGTACACTTACCACTTCCGGTTGTTCTCACAACGCGATTTCTCTGTGCAATGGCGCCTCACTGCTGTGTTCCCCAATGCACTTCATCACACAGGAAAAAATCAAACAGAGGACAAACGTTTCACCGTTTCCCCAAAGATCATGGACTACGTCGACAATGGATAATAAACATCAGAAGGGATCCTGGTCGTAATTTTAAGGTAAGTTTTATTATGTCTGGTGCTGTGAGGCTGAGCCGTCTCCATAACGAGCTTGTATCACTAGCAGCTAAGTTAGCTAGGCTAGAACTAGCACGTTTTAGTAGATAGATTAAGGCAGAGAGCCAGGTTGTTGAAATATACAGCCTAGTCCAAAATTATTAGTATGTTATTAAAATCTACCACCACAGATTTACTAGTATAAGCATATTCTGAGTGACCTTGTTTGTATTAGCTTCTAGTCACAAGCTAACCTAGGAAACACATCACATCACATCAGTTTTCCTAGCTAGGAGGAGGATGTACAGGAGTCAGATTGAGTCTGATCAATAAAATTATACATGTAAAAATGTTTATATGATCGTATTTTATTTGCTGATGCAGATAAACGCATACACAAAAGTGTGCTCGGAGCATTTCCTCCCAGACTGCATTGTGAAGAGCAAGACTGGCATCACCAAGTTGAAACAGGGAGCTGTGCCAACTGTGTTTGCATGGAGTTCTGTCAGACCAGAGAGGAGGAGTGTTGTTAGAACTGCAAGGTAGTATTAAGATGAATTAAGTTACTAGTTTGTAATGCATTTATTAACTGTGTAGTGACCGTATTTCTCTGTTGATGATTTCCAGTAATGTTTCCACGGATCTCGATGATCGACATGGTGTGAATGTGTTGAGGTACGTAAAAGATGTAATTGGTTACATGAATTGAGCATGAGTATCATTGTAAAACACCTAATGTGTCCATCAATATGTTTATCTTATACTTCCAGTGAAGAGACGCCCCCTCCGCACCCAGACCATGAGTATGCTGCACTGCCTCCCTCACTTCAAGATCAACTTGAGGAAGCCCGCAAGACCATCGGTGATCAAGAACTTTTAATTTTAGAGCTTCAACAAGAACGGTTTTTGATTTCAAATTTTCAAGGTGACGATAAACAGATTTCATTTTATACAGGGTTCCCAGATTATGATACATTTAAAGCTGTGTTTATGGCC